TCTTCTTCTTTTTTTCTTTTTAATTCTTTTTTAATTAATTTTTTTAATCCTCAGCCAAGGACGTGTTTAGAGAGGGGGTGGTGAGAGCGAGGAAGGGAGAGAACAGGAGAAACCTGAGTCTGAGAGAAACACCAACAGGGGGCCCCACGCGGCCCGCGCCTTCCGCTGCGGGGCGCTCCCCGCCCTGAGCCCGCGGCCACGCGGGCCTTCTTAGCCAGCGGCTTCTGCCCCGGCGCTCATCTCAGCTGAAGGGCAGGTGGGGAGCAAGTGGGGGCGGAGAAGAGGCATAGAATAAGCATTAGAACGGCGGCAGAGATTTGCTTTCTAAACTATAGAAACGCATCTCAGAGCGGGGCTTACATTTGCTAAGATGGAATTTCAGGCCGTTTCAATTAATATATAATGACTGTGTCTTTCTCAAAGTTCTTTCTTTACATATCTATCCAAGTATAGTACATTATTTTCTTTCATTATTCTCTGTGGCATGGCAAACGTTTAGCTTGTTTTGCCCATTTTTCTATATATTTCCCCCAGGCCAGGGAGGGGACAAAAATTTCACACATGCACATGTATATACTCATCAAACTTATGGCATCAAACCTTTACAGTTCCACACAGCTACTTTGTCATTCCTGAGAACTTTTGGACGTACTCACTTTAACTATAGAGTATTGATTTTTTATCCTATTTTTATGAGAGATCAAAGCCCAAACATGTGCCTAGATAAAAACTGGAATTTCGGAATCATAAAACAGAAACATATTTTGCTTTAAATGTTTAAGTTAAAGGTGACCTGGATAAAATCCATTTTGTTCAGCTTTTTAAAGTCAATGATAATGAGTTAGAAAGTGATTAATCACCTGCACGTTGCAATGTGCCATCACTTTTATTAATACTAGAAATATCCTATACGATGTGGTTTTACATATGTGAAGTGTACCAGAGCAGCATTAAGAGTGACATATCACCTGGGTAATAGCTGACTTTCATCAGATTTGGAGGTACTACCAGGGTGAATAATAATTAAAATATATGCCTAATCGCTGCCTGTCTGTCGGTAGTGCTAATTGCTGTCATTGAAAAGACTGAATTGTTTAAGAAAGAGAGAGAGAAAGAGAAAGTCATTCTTCATTGAAGCTATCTCCCTGTATCATTGGGAGCCTATTTTTAGTACCTATAGAAGTCATGATTTTTGAATTTATTAGGGGCTGTGATGAATGATAAAACAAATCATCCATTTACATATCTTGACACTGCTTTGGAGAATACTTATTTCTTACAAGCAAGTGTCACATTGTATATAAAAGCTGGCTAATTGTCTGCTAATCTTCTGCATTATCTAGAACTCTCTGATGTGGTATTCTCTCAATAGTAATATTAATTTTACTTATTTCAAATGTATGAAATATCTTCTAAAACCCTATTTCTTTTATAATTTCTGTTCTCTCGCATTGTATAATTTTGCATTCAGCTGCTAATTAAGATTAGGAGTGCAAGTTAAGAATACATATCCACTTTAAACCCTCAAGCTTTTGTAATACATGCAAATACTAATATTTTATCCGTTTTAAATGTAAAAAAAGAGAAAGCATTTAAGAACATTACGAGATGTTGTGTTTGTTTTCATGGTTTTTTTCCACACAGTTCAATAGTTTCATTGATCTACTGTTTCTTACAAAAATCTGCCATGCTTTGTGAACTTCACTTTCTAATCTCATACAGCAACCCTTCCTTTATGTTACTCCTGCTCTCCCTGGTCCCAGAACAGTAGGGTTGCCTTGACAAATCTATTCAAAAGCCATTCCTCGGCCTTTATTGGTGGGGACTGGGGCCTTTGAAATTCTCTCCTCACTGAAACACAGCTGACATCTTCTTCCAGACAGAATGAATTAAGGAAACACAATAAGACACTTGATCTACCAGTCAAGGATCTTTCCACAGTGAGGACGGATTCCATGGTGCACAACCAGGGCAGCAAGCATCTAAAAACACACAATACGTGGTTGTTTACCAGAATAGCAATCGGCGATTTTTCCAGCATGATTGATAGGATGATTTCTTTCAAAATAAAATCTGTCTGGAAATGCATTGTGTGTGTGTGTGTGTGTGTGTGTGTGTGTGTGTGTGTGTGTATTGGAAAATTATTAAAAGCCATATATGAGGTTAATCACATTTTTTTAAGCCAAACTTCAAATCAGACTTAAAATGCATGGAAAGAATATAGATTATTTTTCATTTGTCTAAGTTGTAGATCATTATTATCTTAGAGGTTAATCTTTAATATGGAAGGCTTTGTGTCCTCAGACACACAGCTACAATTCACCAGATTGTGTTTATTTTGAACTATTTAAGACATCCCTCATTGAACCAGGTTGACATAAAAATTAAAAGATAGTATAATTTTATGGGCCAGATTTTGAGGAGTAAGTACAAAATCTATTTCTTCTAGTATTACAAAGACAAAGTATATAGTTTGAAAATGTAGCTACTTTTTCACGTGTTCAAAGTGATATTCATTTCCATCTAAAGGTTAATAATGGGCACCCTTTTTAGTTTCTTTTAATTATAATTCTAGCCATCTCTTAGACATATACTGCAGCATGGTTTACAGAAGGTCACATGTCTTAGTATCAGCACACATGATTCACTGAGCTGCAGAAGGTAAACTTTTTCCACAATCATGTTGGTCATGAATAATTACTGTTTGCATAAGAAAACCTTTTATAGTGTGTGAAAAATAAACTGAACATACTTCTAGTGGATAAATTAATCTCTACAACCTGAAAAGTTGGTCTTGGCTTAAATTATGTTTCAGTGCAAAATTGTCTCTATTATATTGCAGAACTGTTGTAACTGGGTCTCTAGCTCAGAACCATTAGACACATCTGTGGAGTCCATGCTGCCCGACTGTCCCCGAGTCTCTGCAGGTATGTGTTTGATGAGATGTATGTTGGTTTTCTTGAAGATTAAAAAATATGCCAATGAAATGTGGAATTCTATATTACAAATTAAGCATGCTGTTCTGCCTTGAATCTTTGAATGAGTTATTGGTAACATACGACATGGGTCTCATCCACTACCAGAAATTTTTTAAGTAGCTGCAGATGCTTACCAACGAACTCCATAAAGATGAGTGGGTGAAACGATCTGAATGCAATGTGGACAGTTGCTGTTGAAGCTTAGGGAGACAAGACGTCCATAAATTAAAAACTGATTATAAAGCAAGGACTGGGGAGTCATACAGGATCTCAGAATATTTGTTTCTGATTGAGTACCAACTCAGTGATGCAATAGCCAGTCAAGGCTCTGAATTCAGAAAAAAGAGACTGCTGTGGTGTAGAGTCTTTAGAAAAGTTTTCATGCAGAAGATTTTGGCTGGACTTTGTGTGTTAGGATTTAGAATGTCAGAAGTGCAGGATGGCATTTTAGACAAACGAAACAGAGCAATGTAAGGAGTGGGTGCTAGAATGGATCTGAAGATGTTCACAGGAAACTAAGGCAAAACTGGCTGCCTGTTGAAAGGAAAGAGGTAGGGTGTGCACCTCAGGTGGGCTCCAGACAATGTAAGGATGGCTGGTACTGATTCCCAGCCTACAGAGTTTGTACTCTTATCTCTGATCTCTAGATAAGAGGAAATAGTCACGTTTTTTATTGCTTTCTGGTTTTGGCTTTCACCATTCCCAACCAATTTTGATGGTAAATACAAATTGAGCAACGATATCTGGTTATGGCTACAGAACAGAAATGGGCTTGCTTTGGCCACAGGTGCCAGAGAATAAGCAGAAGTTTTGAACATGAACTATTCCATACAGCATTCAGAGAAGAGAGTGAATCACTACGCACTTAGAGTTGCAGACTTGTTTATGCATTTGAAGGAAATAATTTGGACAGCAGTTTAAATACTAGATAAAGAACTGTTATAACTAAATTTCACTCTCATTATAGCTAAACTTTCCAGGTCTGTGAGCAGGGTTCAATTAGAGACACAGAACAGTAGGAGATATATATACTATAGTATATATACATATGTATATGTGTGTATGTATGTATATATGTATGTGTGTGTGTTATACAATTGATTTTCTTTATTAGTGGTGGTTATGTTCTATAAAGTTGCTGAATTATTGAATACTGAATTATTACTCCTAGGGAAATTACAGGGTTAGGTTTCTGAAAGCCTCTGGTCACAAGACTTTCATCAACTGATCAATATAACATGTGTGAGCTCAAAATGGCTGCTGCTTCACTTGAACCCCCCAGATTTCCCATGGAAGTCTCCCTGTGTATCATCCTAACCAGAAACATGCAGTTTGAAAAGAAATTCTGGGAAACATAGTTCAACCAAGTCAAACTGACATTACAGAGCCTTCACAGTCCACCCCTTGTCAACTTGGTGCTCCGATACATCTTCTTACATAAGACTTAGTCTTCAAATACGGACATTAACAAAGTCATATTTTCACCTAACAAGATACAACTCTCCCGTGTACAACCAAAAACACACTAACCCTGTCCCCAGAGAAGGATACAAAGCCAGTGTATTGTCCTTGGCTGGTGTTCATTCTTCTCACCTTTGCTGTCCTGTATTCTAAATACTGAGAGATAAAGCTAATCGCTAGTGACACATCTTACATGACATGATAAGGGAATTAGAGAGGAGAATAAAAAATGTATTTAGTATGCATGTATTCATATCAAAATAAGGAAGAAATACTCCTAACTATTACCTTTCTTATTTTTGTGACTGGTCATGAAGTTGTAGCTGATATTTATAACTACCTTTATTCTATATTCCCTTTGCTCTCAGCAAGCACCTCAACCGGCCGTGGCTGCTTTCCTGGTGGGATGACCCCATACCTTCCTTCCTGAAGGGTCTGGGACATTAGCAACCCTGGCTGAGTTAGATTATAGTTTCCTATTGACATTAATCACAAGGAATACTAACATGTCCTGGATGATTTCCTGCATTGCAGACATGATCCTCTTAATCCCTCATTGTGTAGTAGCAACTCAGTTTTCCCCTAATAACAGCATTAATCCCCCCAGCCAGTATAGTAACACTCTCCATTCCTTGTTAACTCAGTGGTAGAAGGAGCCCAAGGTAGCAAAATGGCATTCTCAGCTTCCAATTGAATGGGATCGTTGTCACCGGAAGGAAGCATTCCTTCCTATGGAACTAAGACCTTTAGACCAACACAGCCTAAAGTCATGGGAGTGGGAAGCCACAGTTTTGCTAGTAATCACTAAGGGTAATAAGAAGAAAAGCCAGTCCCATTTCCATCCCTTCATTCCCAATCTGGGAGAAATAGGACAGTATATTAAATGCTGATTTAGAGCAAATACCACATCCCGAGGACATTGTTTCAGCCCACAAGTTGTCATCGGGGACTGTACCTGAGTCTTTAGAAACTCCTTTCACCATTCTCTCCAGCTTGCTGTGTAAGGGTGATGGGGAGCCTGGGAAGACCAGTGAATGCTGGCAGACCTGAAGCTGTTTCTCGCCCTCACGCTTGCTCTCTCTGATGGAAGTCAGCTGCCAGGTTGTGAGCTGCGCTGTGGAGAGGTCAGTGTCGCAAGGAATTGGTGTCTCTGGCCAAGAGCCAGTGAGGACCTGAGGCCTGCTAACAACCACGTGAGGGACCATGGAAGAGAATCCTGTCCCCGTTGAGCTTTGAGATGCCTGCAGCCCTAGCCAACATCTTGATTGTGGCCTTATGAGAGACCCTGACCAATTACCCAGCTAAGCCGTCTCAGATTCCTGACCCCCAGAAACTGGGGGTGATAAATGTGTAGTGTTTTCAGATACCAAGTTTTGGGGTGATTTGTTCCACAGCGGTAAATAATTATTAATGCAACAGGGTTAAACTTCAACTTCCATGCTCTCTCAAGCCTAAGTAGAAGCAACCTTAACTTTTTTGAGACTAAAGCCTTGTAAAGCTCCTCTTTGCTCTGATACCGTGGGATTTAAGAGCAACTCTTTCTAAAAAGGCACTAAAAAGCTCATCGAAGACAATTCATTCTTGTACTTGCTCCCTCACTACCTCATTAGACATTGCTGTACGATTTATCAGAGAAAGGGTATTAAGTTTTTTCTTTATCACACTCTTTAGATTTTATATTAAGCCATCTCACTATTCAGCTCTTCTCTGACCAAAATTTCCTTAGGGCAGAACTTGCTATACTGTGTAATTTTCTATTCCCAGTAGGTTTTTATTCCAACAAATTTAGTTTAAATCAGGAGGAGATTCCATGTAAACTCCCCAGCCTAGTTCTCAAATATTTATTGAGCACGTATTACATTCCAGGCACTGTTCTAGAAGCTGGGGACTTAGCAGTCAACAATAGCTTATCATGACTATTTCCTCCCCAAAAAAATTGTTTTTAAAGAACTGTTTCCTGGCCCTCTGCAGTGGGATTGGTTCCTGCTTTTGAAACTAGTATCAACATTAGGTTGCATCAAATGAGAAAAGAATTAGGGTAGGCATCCCAGCGTTTTTCACACCAACTTATAAAAATGGACGGCTTTCCATCAAAATCACTGATTTCCCTCAAAGAATCCTTACAGAAATATTAACAAGGGGTATGACATGATCAAAATGGGCTTTTAAAAAAGATTAATTTAGTAAATGGGTAAAAGAGAGGAGCAAGAAGCAGGAAAGAGTAGACTCAGCAGGCTGTGACAATAAAGCAAGTATATGAGGTTGGTGGCATGTCCTGGAGTGGTGGCAATGGGAAAGGAGAGGAGAGGAGAGCCCTTGGACTCCTCACTCCTTGATGATAAATAGGTCAGATGTGGAGGCTAAAAGAAAAGGAGACAACTGTAAGTTCCAATGAAAGTTACTGGGATAATGAAACTGTCATTGCCAGATAGGGGACCAAGAAAGGGAAATGACCTAAGGAGAAAAAATGATTTATGACTTACTTAATTGGAGTGATAGCAACTCTGGTGATGGCAGGAAATTCGAATGGAAATAACCAAAGGTTGTTGAAGTACCTTTGCAACACCTAAAATTCTCTGATCAATAATCCTCTTATCTCTAATTTAAAATGTTGATATTACTTGAAGATTTCAACATGTAGACTGACCACAAGTTAGTATTGAATATCCAGACTATGCATTCGATTTAGTGAAATCTTTTTTCCAGCTTTCAAAATTATAAACTTTTTGTTGTTGTTATAATATGCTTTTATCTTTTAACTACAAGTTTCATGGTCATAGCAGTAAAATTACCTATTAAAATACATACTCATTTAATACTGTATTTTTCCTGTTATTATTAAATATGTTTTCTTCTATACAAAAAATAGATCTATTGCTCATAATAGCTTAATTTTATGAATGTTATTTACCTGTGAATATATAGTTTAAAGACAGATGCAGTGAAATTTTTAAATTGTAATTAAAGTGTCACTGATAATTATTTTCAGTATAGTCATATTGTTTCTACTTTTCTTTTGAAACCAACTGTAATACTTAACAGTGCAACACTTGCAAGTAGGCAGTGTTGCACCTTCCACTTAAAATGAAGTCTGACTTTTCAGTTGTCATAACATATAGTGAATGGTGGAATTTTGATGGAGCTTGAGTATGTGTCTAGTGCCCTATTTCTTCCTTTTTCAGTAGCGTTTCCTACTAGTAACATCAGCCAGCTGAAAACAGTTACTCGGAGAATTATGTAATAGGTTAATAGGATCTGGTTTAGAGTGTAGCCCACGTTGGGATTGTTGGTGCATTTGTTGTACAGTGACAGCAGCAAATATCTGCCCAGTGATCTTGTAGAAATGTTGTGAATATAATTTTTTTAGTGTCTGGGGGCGGTATATTTTGACTTCATCAGAAGGAAGGCGCTATTAAAAAAAAAAGTAAGGTGGTACTATATATTTTGATTAGGCATTTTAGAATTTAAGGCTATAATTTATTTTAGAA